GATTGGCTTGGAGAAAATCTTCGTTATAAACAGATCTTCGTTATAACCAAAGTTCGTTATAGCCAGCTTTGACTGTATATGCGAATCACATGGGAGCGATGTCATGTGTTTTAAATCCGCGAATCAGAGATAAGCATAGAACATGCAAATCGTCTGATAATCGGTAAGTGTATATATACAACAATCAACCAATCGACGTTACCGTTACATGATCTATTTCGGGGTGTACTACAAGCATATAATTGATTTTCCGGTGTGACTATACTTTATTATTATCAATTATTATATACCCGATATCCGAAAAAATTGATTATACTAGTGAATATCGGGTTAAGTTGGTCAATGACATTAATATTCGAAATACTTTTACTGTTACTATTGGGATTGAATTCTGATACAACAATAGAGACGATTAAGTTTTTTCGCTACAATATTCACCACTACCCCCAAAACCCTCTATATAATTTCTTATATTTTCTTTTTTATGGGTTTTATTGCATCCGTAAGATATATCCAGCTGTGTAACACGAACCGGCGAAAAATAAAACGGTCTAAGAATCAAATTTGGGATTATGTAATACAGTCAATTGCTTTTCCTATAGAAAGAGCAATAAATGCGAGATTTATTAATCAAGATCAACCTCTGTACTTATCTTTCTTCCGTAATGAAAATCGAGAAGGTAAAAAATAATAATTTTTGACGCAAAATGAAAATAGGAATACTCTATTATTAATGAATTAAACTGTTCCCAGCACGACTAAATAACCCATCACATTATGACGACAGTTGTTTGTCTTATTCTCCCTCTTCTTGTAAAAGTGATTTACGTATTTTGGCTAACGCTGTAAACACTTCCCGTCTTCCTTCCGGTTGAGCAAGATCGAAACTAGTGTCGAAACTATTCCTAGCCGGCCATCTTTTAACCGTCATTGACTGGTTTTTTGGCAAGCCTTTACCAAGCTCCTCCCAATACATCGCAGGAATCAATGTTTTATAAAACGTAACATATGTCGAAATTATACGAACTGCCCATAATGTCTGATCTGTATATTCCGCTCTGCGAATGGAACGTATATTCTCACTACCACAAGCGAGAATCTCTACTGCGATTTGTGTTTCTCCATATCCATTGCTTCGCCCAACATTTTGCAGGTGTTTGTCCTGTTAAAACACGTTGTTTGAGTCAGCGAAAATAATAATTCACAAGCAGTCAACAATAGACAGACCTCTATCACAACAATATTACGGTTTTCTCTGCTTTGATTCTCAATTACGAAATCAGGGACTGATGTCACGCGTGCAACATCCTGGATGTATAAGTTGCATGGCGGTTGATTTCTTGATTTCGAAAATGCAAACATTAGAACGATTGGAGTACACCACAATAAAATAAAAAGACTTTCAATGATTACATACCTGATCATTAAGGGAAATCCATTTAACTTAGCAATACGAAGTATATCATCTACACATGTGTCGGTAAAGGATTCATGTGTGCCAATCGCCTGCACACTATTCACCACGACATTATTCAACTTGTTAAGAAATGTTTGAACCTTTGGTTTTGAGATGCCTTTAAGTCGGCGAACATCAAAGTCTGTATGTCCAAGTATTTCACGATTGATATTAGGGAGAAGGTACTGTTCCGGAAATTCAGTGACTAGACAGCATTTAAATTATAAGTATTAGTTCACTAAGATTTGTTGAAGCAACATAGCTCTTACTTTCAACATCAGGTATGACTTCGTCCGCGCTGGAAGCCGGAATGAAAATCACGTTTAATGCCTCCATATCTTCTGTTGCGAACACAGATGCAGAAGGAGGGAGATCCTTTACGCCATAGCTGGAACGAGAACTGGAACTGGAACTGGAACCGGAACTGAGCCTAAGATTACTCGTGGCTCCCGCAAGCACTGAGTCTTCTTTGGCAAGGCGCTTAGGCGGGTGGCGGGTGGCAGAAGAGCTCGCAATTTCGACGTTTTTTCGTTTTTTTGAAGACATTAGTAACACAGGACAACAAAAAAGCTACATTCACAGCAGATCGTCAGCAAATAATCTGCCAGGTCGCACAGCCCGCCACGTTGTACAGGCTCAAACACTATCTTTTTATTGGATGCTCAGTACATCATGCATGAAAAAGTTCCACGACCTTCTGTGGTATACATCTGTGTTATGCTTATTTCGGAAATTTGGCCACTGTTATATGCTGATCGAATATCCGTGTTACGCAATCAATTTTTCAGGCACGGAAATTTGGTCACATGGATGAAAAGTTCC